CACGTAATCTTCTGATCCACAGTTCAAACGTCATCCTCCTCCTACCCCTCTTCCTTCTCCTTACCCTTCTCCTCTCTCACTCCATTCGACCCTTAAAAAACTTACTCCTGTTACAAGTTCATTTAGCAGCGCCTCTCTTATTGTGACGACTCGCCAATAACCAAGCAAATGTATGTACCCGTATCCTCGCTTTGCCTTAGTGACACTCATTCTACCCTGAGGCAAAAGACGCATTCAAAGGAAATAAATATCTGAAACCACCTCAGTGTGCTCACACCAAAAGCGGGACTTCGAGGTTAATTTGGTGCTCATTGTAATGGCAGTGTTATTACATGCGATTGTGGATCCCTTGTGTATTTGCACTTGCCATAGTCCACACTTGTCTCCATTCTAGACGTAGTGGAATGGGATGAAGGACAGCAGTGCTGGTGCATATATACGTGGATTGTTGTGCTGCGGCGAATGACAGTGACGTAAATCCTCACGCGTTGGAAGTTAGGGCAGTTGGAAGCTGACATCAGTGAAAGGTTCCACCTGATGAAGGCACTCTGTGTCAACTTGATCAGTCTTTACACCGGAAGAAAGGACACAATCTCTGATGGTGCATGATTTAAAGTAGGCTGTTTAGGATGAACTCAATAGCACCGTCTTCTCAGAAAAGTAGGCAAATTACAAGTAGAGACTGCTTTTAGTGTCCCTTGCAATCTCGCCTGGGTTTAATGTAGATCGCATTGCTTTCGGTTCTGCATCGTACGAAGTGTGACTTGAACGCAATATCCTCTAGGATCATGTTCCACCCCCGACCCTCGCTACCACCCCAATCCTCCCATCGCCTCTGGAGTAGATCCGCCACACTTAGCACACCAAAAGACACCGCAAATTGGATGCAAATCCTAATCTACCTAGTGCCACCAAGCGATAGCATTAGTCGCAAATGTGAAGTTCCAAAATCAAGTTATGCCTTTTCTTGACCTAACAAATGGAGCAATATCTCAGTCCACACATGTTGATGTGGCAGCAGCACCACAAGCTTCACAAGTGGTGGGTCAGTGATTACACTCAGATAAGTGGTGGAGTTTCCCATCTTCAGTGAGACAAGTAAGCCCATGGAAACGGTGATTGTGAGTTTCACCGTTACCATTCAACTGTCCATCTCATCTGGTGGGGGTGGAGGCAGATCCTCACTGCACGTCTGCACTTCCTACGGAGTAAGAAATCTTATCGGTAGTGTTTATCGGGGATGGGTAGGGTGGATCAGCGTTATAGAGGAGGGTCGAAGGGAAGACATGTCGTGACTTAAATGATTCCAGATTACTCCAACTACCTTCCCGACGAAGGTGATGATGACCAGAGACACTGCAACGACCATAACCATGACCATGATTGAGTGGAATTAAGTCCTCTGGTCCTGGTGGTAGTAGAGGACACTGTTTATGCATAAGTTAGCCCAATGCATAACAACAATGCCTGTGGCCACATCAATCCTCGCCGTGTTCAACACCTTGCAGAGAGCCATGTTAACAGCACCAAGGAGGCTGGCTAAACTGGCTGTCAGGAGGGCTGGACAAGTTGTTTTGCAGACTTCTTTCCTTGCACGTTTACTAGTAAGAATATGGCTACAATGCCAGCATGTGTAGCTAGTAGCCATCAAATCAGTGCAGCTGCCAGAGCGCAGAGTAGAGGAGACCATGTCGTTTAATAATTTGGACCTCAAGATCTTGTTGTGATCATACGGTGATACATATTTATACTCCCGCTAATCCCATAACCATAGCATGTGAGGCAGGCGAGACATGTACCCCTAATAT